TTTCTTAAATAACTTTAAAACTATTTATTTTAAAATTATAAAAAATATATTTGAGACCCTTACAACAAGCCCTTTCATTTGACATGTCACCCAATACGGTTTGCAAAACTTTTCTTTTAATTTCCTATTGGCCGCCAAAAAAATGACCCCCTTGTTCAAAATTAATTTATATACATTATGCGTCCGTGTTTGGGTTACAGAAATTCATACTAAATTTCAACTTAATCGGTCCAGTAGATTCAGAGCATTGCCTGTGCCAGGCGGACAGACAGGCACACGAGTGATCCTATAAGGGTTCCGTTCTTCATTCCGACGTATGGAACCGTAAAAAAAGTAAATATTTCGGTAATTATGCCAGTTTCAAAGAGTATGATGTAGGTTCTTTGAATTACGTGATTAAATCGCCAAAACAATAAATAATCGTTTTTGAAAAGGTAATTTCACTGTGAAACTACAAACCTATACGTTCTTTTTTTTTTTTAATTTTTGACGTGACAACGTCTTATAATTCGATGAAGCCCGCTGCACGCACGAAAAAACATGACTCATGCGGCGTTACCTCGCTCTGAGGCGTTCCATTTAAGGCTTGAAGTGCAAGCGAGAGCGCGGAAGAGCGACAAAGAGGCACAATCGGCCTCCGCGTTCGGCAGCGTTCGATATCTGTCTCTCTCCTACTTGAGTGAGCGATGCTATACAATAATACATTTCCATTTGCCTCCTTCTCTATATCCATACAAAATATCTATCAAACAAATAAAATTAAAATTTTCTTTTGAAAAATGAAACCATTCCATCAGTATTTTCTTATGACGTTGTCACGTTTCACTATCGTCAGTAAACCGACTTTACAGACAACCGATTTTTGATTTAAATGTTTCACTTTTCCACATATTCCACAAGTGCCTATTAGTATTCCTTGTTCATACTTTATTTCTTTTGTTATAAAATTGCCTATGTTTGTTATTATCTTACAATCGTAATATGAAGCAATCTTCATAAAATCTTTGACTTTATTTAATTCGGAATCTCTAATAGTACCTTTCATTATAACATAATGAAGTACGGCGTCTCGACTAAATGTTTAGTTTAGAACTAGGAACGATAAGTATTATTTAGGTGCCTATTTTATTTCTTTCTTCCTGGTTTGGATTTTCTCATTATAACACCAATGAAAGTAAAACACAGCATGTTAAGATTTGTTTTTTTTAGCACACAACTGCTGTTTTTCGCAACTCGTGTGTAATTTCAGGTGAATAAGTGCAAATATCTCATGCAATATAAATTTCATATTACCAGTGCTAAAATAGTAGAACAAGGTCATTATCCGAAAGTAACGTTCTCAGTCAAAGAGGAATAATTTCATTAGTAGCTAGAGTAGTAAATGTCTATGTATTTTAATACACGATATAAAAAAGAACATACAAACTGTCGATTCTGAACTGCAAACATTTGCTTTATTGTTATATCTGACCTACTGTGGTGTTCCAAAAATTCGAATTTCTAACAATTTCTTCAAAAGATATCAAAATCTTGTTTGTTGGAAATTCCGAGTTTATTAAGATGATTCATCCTGCACAAACTATTTATTTTATTATGAATATAAATAATTCTCGAAAAAATTTTTTAATTGTGTAGAACAAACAATTCCATGTATCGTATTAGATAAAGACACATGCACATTCCTCAACGTCTCATCAAGACAAGATTGTTACAAGAAAAATAGATGAATTTATTTTATATCTTTCTTGTAAAATATCAGCCGACAAACTTAAATATGTAGAACTGTACTTAGAAGAATCTCGGTGGAGGCGCCGGACAGCGAAGTACGTAACCATTATTATTACGTACTAGCTACCCCGACAGACTTCGTTCTAACAAAAGTTATTTGTCTGTCACAGTCCAATACAAAAAATACATAAATAAAGAAGAGAAACGAAAATTCAAACACAACCACGAAAATGCCACGCACAGAGGATGTAATGATGACTTGTAGATACATTAGTAATTGTATTTTCTTTGATAACGCGCAAACCCTTTTTTTGTTCGAATTTATTTTGGGCAGACAGATTAATATCCATACAGTCTAATCAACTTGAAGACATAACAACAATAATCCTAAGGAGTCTTTGTTTTGTTTTGATTGACGTCAAATGTTTGACAGCTGGGGACAGATGTGGTTTGTATGGGAAAAAAAGTGAGGTTTTTGCGTTTTCCTGGGCAATTTTTCCAATTTTTCTCTTCATAAGAATCTTCCCCGGACTTTAAGGAATTTTTATATACATTGATAGAGAGTGTCGTATTTTTGTATTCCGTTTGAAAGGATGGATAGGGGTGTGCCCTTTCATAATTGTTTATTGTGTAGAAAAAATACAATTGGCCAAAAATTATTTTGCTAAATACAGAAAGAAAAATATGTTGAAAAATTGAAAGTTCTAATAGTATCATTTACATTGTATGGTCGTCAATGCGAATACAGCTTGAACATATATCACTCACTCCTTCTTTTTCTGAGCCAATTTTCGATTTTCCTGAAAACTAGAAGATCGATATTTAAACTGTTAGCGATCGTGATCTATAACCTAGGTCTTCTTATGTATCTTTCCTTACTTTTGATTCTGGTTCAAATATGTCTACCCCTTCTTGTCTCAGAAGGTGTCACACCATTGACATCCATACTGCGTTTTGTTGTTCTGCTTTTTAGTAGTTATAGAAAATAGTACGTGGTTGATTTATATGGGATTTATCTCATGAAAAATAAAGTCGCTTAACGACTGGAATGTAGGTCTTTTACTAGGTCGCAAATAAATGTAAAATGCATAAAGGATAAGTATTCGATTATTGAATAATGTCTCTACGTGAGCTTGTTTATTGTACATCTTGGTTTAATTTTATTGGAACTTCATGAAAACAGGCATTTGCTTGTCAATATGGCGTAATACTCAACATGAATGCTCGATAGCGACCTTCTTTACTGTACACTATATTGGCCATAAATGAATTCACGATGGAGCGAACGATTAAGAAATTTTTAGCACCAATGCACGAGGAATGTTAAAAAAAATCCGATTTGATACCAAATTCCCGTAATAATGTAGAATTAGAAAGTTGTAGTATCCTTGTGGGTTATCAGTTTTAATAATTGACGCTTGGCCTTCTTATTTAAGTATCTATAACAGCATAATCTTGGAGAATATCGGGGAAAATTGCATTCTATTTTGTACTATTCGTTTATTTTTATTATTTGAGTTATGGAAACTGTAACCCTAGACAAAAATTTTCAGTATCTCTCCAGTCTTCAGAGACTTTCAGCGTCTCTGAGAGCATCTCTCACAGTCTCTCAGTTATTGCCTAGGTGTTTTTATGGATCTCTCACAGTCTCTCTATGAACGATTCGAACAATAAAATTGTTAATTCAGAGATTCGAGTCCCTCACAGAGAGACTGAATGAATAAAACTGAAAAATTGAGAGACTCGAGTCTCTCGTAGAAAGACTGGGATCTCTGAAGTATGTTGAACTTGAAATTTTAATCATGTGTATCGAGACACCACTTATTGAGAGATTCGAGTCTCTCGTTCAGAGATTCGAATCTCGTTCAGAGACTGGATACGAAATGAGAATCTCTCTATGAGCGACTCGAGTCTCTCGTTCAGAGACGCTAAACAGTTTTTTTGGCAGTCTCTGGACGGTCTCTCTAAGCGACACCAGAGAGATTCGATGAAAGACGGAAACTCGAGTCTCGCTTTCAGAGACTCTGAGAGACTGAACATTTTTATCTCGGGAAACTCTGCTAATTTTGTGCCTTCGTATATTGCTTGTGTCCAATTGCTAACTAAGTTCTTTAAAAATGAATGATAATTTCTGTCAAAATTTAGGAAAGGTCATTCCTTAATCATCTGAAATTGTGGGTGTGTTCCGGTGAAACGCTGGCAACGTCACTTGCCGAAGAATTCTTCGCTTACTTCACCAAAGGAGACCACAAACTTTGCAATTTCTATGGCAGCACTGAAGTAATGGGTGATGTCACTTACCACGTTATGAGTAATTTGGACCAAGTAAAACAATACGACAAAGTACCCATTGGTAAGTTGGCTATGCATTCATGTACAATTTACACTAAGATATGTTTATAGATCACTAGAAATAAAACTCAAAATTAATTTATGATTTTCCATCATGTAAACGTGGACATGGTCAATCATGTTTCATGATCACACCGTTGTCTGTTCAAAGACTGGTTGAACACGCACCTACACTGCTTTCTGTAGTTAACCAGGTTCTTTCTCCATCGAAAATGAATATTTCCGATACAACACAATTTTAGTTTGGTAAAATAGTAAAAAAATGCGCTGATTCTGAATTTCGTTATTCGCAATCTGAGATATTTGAGGCAACACTTTTTAATTTAACAATTGGTGAAATCATCGTTTATCTATTATACAGCTCCTTTTTTTTTTTCAATTTCTGAATAATCATTCACTTCATCATCATCATAAAATCGTCAGTCCTAAGACTGGTTGGACACGTACCTCCACTCTTTCCTATCCTGAGCTTAATTATTTCGCATTTCCCTAAAACTAGAACAACCTACATCCTTAACTATTTGCGAACAGTAATCTAATCTAGGTCTACCTCTACCGCTCCTAACTCCTGTTTCTGTCTCTAATATGTCTTTGACTTGACCTTTATGCCTGAGATAGTGTCCTACCAACCTATCCCGCCTATTTTTTATTGACTTCCATGGAGTCCTCTGTTCTCCTATTCTTTTTAATACCTATTTATATCAAACCTTCTCTATCCACAGTATCCTCGTCATTCGCCTGTAACACCACATTTCGAAGGCTTCTAACCTTTTCTTTTCCGCCGCGCCCACTGTCCATGTTTCGCACCCGTACAATGCCATGCTCCAAACATACACCTTTAACATCCTTTTCCGAATTTCTAAATTAACCGTTCGCGAACATATAAGTGACTTCTTTTTATTAAATGTGACACGACCCTGCGCTATCCTCTGCTTTTTATCCCTACTGCTCCTTCCGTCCTGACTTATCTGACTTTCTAGATATTTAAAATCAGCCACATCTTCTAATTTTTCGTCTCCTATCTTCATTTTTCTTTATATTTCCCTACTTTTCTTCCCTAGACCAGAAAAAAATTCTTTATGTTTAAAACGACTCGGTCCTGCTCCTTTTTTGTTATATATCTATGTCATTTATTCCTTTAACTGATCTCCCGGGCATCGATAATTGACAGTGGCGTAGCGTGAACGGGGGGAGCAAAGAGTTCCATGGCCCCATGTGACGCAAATGTGAAGTATGGTAAAAAAATTTTTTTCGTTATTAAATAGAGCATTAGACGGTAATGTTTCCTGGTATTTGTAAAAGTTTTTAACAATTTGTACTATGTACCAGACACTACCAAAACTTATTGCTTAAAAATACCAAAATTTTTGTTTTACTCAACCCTGTATTTAACCGTAAAAACGGCATAGAATAGGTGCTACGATTATAAAACGTTACAATCATAGGAAAAGCATGCCAAAAAGGAAAATAAAAAGTACAGGCGGTGTATATATAGTTGCTAATGTTACTGGAGCATTTCGTGTGTTGGACGAAACCTTAGTATGGTATTATCATCATGCCTAACTGAATAAATGAGGTAGCTTACATACGTGATAGTCACGCATGCGTTTAACTGATTGGTCAGAAATCTATCAAAACCATTTATTACTGATGAGACCTAATAATATCGAAATCTCGATCCGGTGTTATTTCTGACGAAGAACGTTCGTATAAATTTCACCTATATAAACAAGACATTTTATATGTTCTATTCAATCTAAATGATGCAGAATCTTACATTTAATAATTAAATAATTACGAAAAATCTCGAACTTACAGCAAATGGTTGGAAGAGTCGCAAGACGTATCACATTTCGAGAATGAAATATCACTTTTTTAACGGATATACGATATAGCAAACCAGATGGAAATTCAGCCTGATTTTCCTAAAACTTCAAGGAGAAAATGAGTATGAAAATACGAACCAGTAACTAATGCTAAACAATATAAAATTTATTTCTTTTTCGCAATTTAGACATAACTGTATACTTATTTACAGTGAAATTGGTACAAATTTTAAACTTATTCTAATTGTAAGTTTAAGGGAAATTATTATGTAATAATGTAAAGATATGGATATAAAAACTTATGCATCTGTCAACGATAAAAATACAGAAAATCGGCATACGTAAATGATGGAATAGCACTCTATTTTTGGAATCAAAATCATTACAATTGTTTATAAAACTTGAGATAGGTCTTCGTTTTATTCTGAGGTGTGTTTGTAAACGAAATAAATTGTATGAGACTACAGCAAATTTAGAGTAATTGTTCTCAACTAAATTAACACTTTTTGAATTTAATTAATCATTTTGTTGTCAAATCAAATCTTGTAAAAGAGCACAAAATTTCATTTCCACTCAAGTGATTGTGACAGAGTATCTTTTGGTAATAGATAAAAAAAAATAAAATCGTAGTTTTCAACATCCTTGTTTTGAAATTTGTCGGTCACAGTAGCACTGTTACATAATTTAGAGAAGTAATGAGTTAGTACCTAATAACAAAATTTGTGAAGGAAGTTTCATTCGTTGGTAATTAAACAATTTGGGATTGGAGAAAAGTAAATTGGGATACTCTAAAACATTAGTTCGCGGCCTGAATAACACAAAAATACCAAAAGAATATAACAAAAAAAAATTTTTGGGTGTTTCATTCCCACCAGCCAGTAATGCTGGTGGG